CTTTAAGAGCTTTCTCAAAACTGTATTTATCCATTGTTAAACCCTTAAATAAATTGATTCATACAGCTAATGTTCTAATTTCATGACAGAACTTCAATACAAAGGGTTTGCTGTTACCTGGAATATCTATATCCCACTTGAAATAAGAGTCACGTAAACCATTAGTCTGTTAAAAGCACAGGTGTGCTGAGGCCTAAATCTGTGTGGGCTGTTAATTATTTTTTGTGATAACCTTAGCTATGAGGATATATGCAAAAATACACATATAGGTAACAAATAATCATTGCCATGTTCAATCAATCTAACTTCAAACACAGAACAAAGAGTCCAAATAGTTTTAGGTGTAGATTTTACACACGGATTCCCATCAATTCCTGACTTCAAATAGCTCCCACGTGAGATTAAAGGTGTATTAAATCAGGTATTGGCCTCCAAGAATCCAACCAACTTATAGCGCTCTTATGTTACCTATCTGCACTTCACTCTTGCCAGAAAATCCTACCAGATTCACTAGTCAGCAAAACAGAGCACATTCTGTTTTTAAACTAATGCATGTTAAAACTAAAACAAACAAAAAATGTCAGTGCCATGAAGGCAGCTAAAGCAGTCCCTGCATACAGCTCTTCAAGGTTTGCCCTCTATACAGAAGCCAATTTTCACAAAGCAGCAAATTAGAGCATCGGGGAACTAAGATGATTACATCTAACTGAAAGTACAGAATAAATTTAGATGGGTGGAATTTATTGGATTATTTTGTTTAGGGAATAGAAGTTAAATACCTCTAACACAGCCATGAGATTCTTAATGAAGATGAGACTAGTTAAGTTCTACATCTCATCCCAAAGAAGCACATTTCTAAGATCATTATTACATGCAAACTGAGGTTTTCTCTTCTCTCCTTTCTGCCTTTAAAACAAAATCCAAATGAACGTTCCAAGAAAACCTGACTGTAAGTTGAATAATACAAACCACATCCCTATGAGCTAGGATATGAGCTATGCGCTTGCATGTTGTATTTGAAAAGACATATCTGGAAATTCTTGTTGTTCACTTACAAGACATAAAAGCTACTTGTGATGCCAGCACCAAGTAAACAGAAGAGAACTGTCCGTATTTCATTGATATGTATCATATATATCAATATGCCTGTATTTCTCAAACACTATATATCTTCTTCTCTGCCTAGGAGCAATCCTACCATAACAAGTGATATCTAAATACATTTTGGGGAAAAGATAAAAGCTCCATTATATGACAAGGAATATTTTGACTAACAGAGAGATTATACTAATCATGAGTAAAAAGACGATGTTTGATCCTACTTGTGCTGAAAGTTTTTAAAAATTTAAAAAAATCTTTTAAATGAATTTTATCCTCAGGAAAATGATTAAAACCAGAAAAGCCTTGAGATGTCAGCTGGTGACATGTTTTTCTTCTTTATCTTTCTTTTTTGTTGTTGTTGCTGTGAAAAAAAAATCTGAGAGAATACAGCAAAGTGCATCATTAGCTTCTTATTAATTTTATAATACAAAGGCAATTCAGTTAAAATAGTGGTGCTGCAACTTTAAATTACAGAACTAGCTTGGTATTTAATGAGAGATTTAGCACAGCGGGGTTTCTGTTAAATTAAGTTGTGCCTTCACATCACAGTGGGAAAACAGGTGTATATTGGTTTAGAATTATGGAAATGTTGACTAATTCCAAGGCTTGTAATCAAACAGCAAGGCACCCTGCAATATTTTCTTCCAAGATTCTGCATTAATCATTTATGTCTGGTCTTATTGTCTTCATGTCCACTAAAAGGGTGCAGCTCAAAAGAGCAGATGAAGCACTCGTGTTTACATGTCTCCAAGGATGAGGTCCATGCAAAAAGAAGATATAGAAACAGAGCACTGCAGGCTTTGCTCAAATACCTACCTAAATTAAACTGAACATGGGGTCTTGGAAGCTAAAAACCCCACTGTTTTGGCTTCACCAGTGCTGATCCAAAACCTGCTTGCTGAGCCAAGTGGAACAGGTCTGCATTTAAGAAATGAGAAGACTAAGCCCAAAAATAACCTCTCCTCTATCATTTAATGAACATAGTAGTATTCTCCTCCACACTTCTGCAGCACTGCAGGTTATACCTGTGTGTAGGTAAAATGCAGGCGAGTTCCAACCACCGCAGCGTCCCCGCAGCCCCCTGCTCCTGCATCTGCCATCGTTCCCTACCTCACACTAATAAATCACCTGCCTTTGCCTCACATTTTCTTCCTGGGCTATTTAAGGATGCCTCTTATCCGACGCATGGTGGTATTACAGTAAAAGTGGACAGCACAGGTTCTTTTGTTTCCAGGAGACACCTTATTACTGAACCTCCTACATACCATATCTCGTTTACTGGAAGCAAGCTGACACTTGATGCCCCAATGAGCCTGATCCCAATTCATCCCTTGTTGTAACTCCACCAGAAGATTGCTTCCATTTGCTCTGAGACTGTTTCGCACATGGGCCTATCCACTACTGATTCCTGCTCGTTTGGTGAAAGCTGCTTAGCGGGCAAGAGCTAACAACATGGAAATTGCTAAAATTCATATAAGGAGAATCCTGCTAATGTGAAGTCTTTTCAGCACGTGTGCTACAACTTTAAAGCATGCTTAAATGAAGTTATTTTGGGAATACACAGATGCAGCATAACAGTATCACCATATATGCTGAATGTCAGCATACAGCACATGCAAAATATAGAATCTGTTATACAATATATGCTGAATCGTTCTCAAAGAGAAGTAACAGATCTGTATTTGAGTCACTTCTCTTTATTAAAGGTGTCCCTTTAAGAAGTAGGTATAACAACTCATCTCAAAGTAAAATCCTAACATCTCTGGCAGTATCAGGAATATTTTTAAAGCCCAGGCCCCAGAGTCATGGGAATGTAATTTTGACATTTCCTTAAAAGAAAAGTTTGTAACCTCACAGTCAGGACAGGAAAAACACAGCTTGAAAAGATAAGTTCTAAATGACAAAGAGCTAGAGGTAGCATTAGAAAAAAATACTATATTTTTGAGCTTTATTTAAAAAAAATCAAAAGGTACAGTAGTCTCTTTAACTGCTGCATGCTCGTTACCTGTACAAAAGCAGAGGAAAAAATGATGCCCCACTCAATTAAGATATGATGCAGAGCTGAGCCAGGTGTGCCACCTGTACATGGGGAAGTCAGGGAAGGAGTCTGTCCCTCCGAGTCACCCTCTGAGATAGATAACCAAGATCTCTCAAACACAGTAGCCAGCTCATGGGGTTCAGGGAAGAACAGAGGAGCAAACAAAGGGAACCTCTCTGCTTCTAAAGGGAGCGATATATAGATCTCAAGGGAGAGCTTCAGGGTAGGGTCCCACATCCTTCCTGGACCCAGAGATGCTGGCTGGGCAGGGTGCTGCTCCAGCAGCTCAGGACCATCTCCAATGGAGTGTCCATCCTACCCAGCAATTCAGCACAACCATTTGACTCAAAGCATGTTGGAAAGCAACTACACAATGAGTTGGGTTAAGTGCAACATTAGCTGAAGTGGGTTAGAGAACATTCATCCAAGTGCTTGGCATTTTCTGGCAGTGGGGATGAGAACCAACAACTGGCATCGCAGAGCCAGAGGATGCTGAGATTCAACCTGAGCTCTGAGAGGTCTCAAAGGGAATTGCCCCTCAGAATCTTCCTTTCTCTCTGAGGATGACACATCCATCCTTTACACCCTCAAAAGCTGAGCCTGCCACTGGGAGGCTTGTAAGGTCTTGACACTGTCCCTTGCAAGGGACAGTTGTTGGAACACATCACTTGAATGTGAAGTGCCACAATTTTTATTTTCCTGTAGCTGGCCTGCCTCTGCAGATTTCCTGCTACCTCTTCCAGCATTTTCACTTGCACATGACAGAGGACTCCTATTTTACCTTGCTGAATTAGCAGGACTCACAGGTAACTATCCAACATACTTCTCTAGGTTGGTCATTTCCATGACAGATGAGGTAGTTTTCCTAGCAGGAGTTGCATAAAGTGAGCTGGCCAGATGTGAATTTTTCAGACACATAGTGTCCAATTTCACATACAGCATGTAGGAACTAAAGAAGATATTGGCTATATAACTGCCAGTCCAAGTTCAGTCGATGTTCTGTTTATCTATACAGTGCTGTATACATTTATCTATTTTTGTGTCTGTAACCATACACTCCAATCATACACTTAAACATTTTCCCTACCTCAAGAGGGAATATACCTCCAACCTTTATATTTTTCCTTTCCCATTCACAAAGTATTTGGCTATGTTCAGCAGAAGAAATGGAAACATTAGAACAAGATTTCAGAGTTAAGTCATGCAATTACCAGAGATATACTTCTATTTAGCCCTGTAACTTAAATCTGATCAATCATAGGATAATACAAGCTACAGTTTGTACACCACCACCACCACAACCGTTTCAGCCATCGGTGAGAGGTATCAGTGCGAACAGGCTGCTGAGGAGAGGCGGATGACACTGTACAAGCAGCTACGTGGTACCACGCTCTACGGTACCCTGACATGCAGCCCCCATACCGATGCAGTCAGGTTGTTTAGAAACCATGTGGATAAAGGCTGCATTTAACAAAGTTAGCTGTATTTTGTCTTTTCCTCTTCTCTTCCTTTTCAAACTAGAAGTTCCAGCAGTGCAGTGGTTTTACTGCCATATGTTTTTTTTCCCCCTTCCTCCCCCTTAAATAAAAAAAAAATATTGAATCTACACTGCACTTCAGTAACTGCCTCTAGTCAGCAGGCATCAGCACTGTTTCCAGCCAAGGGACTTTCTACAGAAGAGCAACTGCCTTTTGAGGTGATGCAATGGCTACAGGACTGGCACGGTTACAGGACAGACCATCAGGTTAGCCACCCTCCCTTGAAGAGATCAAGGTCATTTGGGGCACCAAGCAGCATCTTGAGCAAAAGGGTTACTTTTCTGGTGATAAAATAATTAGGATCAAAAAGTAAATGTACTCACCCCAGGTAAAGTTTTAATATTGTGCAGTGCATTCTGTGCCTCAAGAGCAGCTTTTCTTGTATAAAATGTTACGAAACAACAACCTATAGAGAGAAATGAAAAGCTTTCAGAAATTAGTGAGTATGATTTGTGAGAGTACAATAGGGAGGGAGAAAAAACAGGGGTTGAACAACACATTATGAAAGCTGGAAATGTGAATTATCATGAGGTTGCCTGAATGACATGAATAAAAGAAAGCTTGCATGGTTTAAAATAAAAAGTCACCCCCTGTGCATTGCATCTATAGCACACCTACATTGTTAGAGAACTGTAATCACTTAGAAATTAAGTTAACCAAAATCCAATCGGCTTTGTACAGTGTAAATAAGGTTATATTTTTCTGAAGGCTCCCCATTATACTTTGAAAATAAGCAACATGGCAAGCTC